TGGACCGCGCATTTTGCCTCGTGTGAACGCTAAATACCGGATTTCTTGCTACGTGTGAACGCGGCTATTAGCCGGTATTTAACGTTCACACGAGGCAAAATGCGCGGTCCAAACAGATCCGGTATTTGATGTAAATACGCGGCTTCCCAGACCCCAAATAATTTGCAGTGCTTGAGAAATACCGGATCTTTTGGACCGCGCATTTCCTCGTGTGAACGCTAAATACCGGATTACTGAATCCGCGTATTTTATAGACTGGTCCGCGCTCGACAGTTCCAGTGTAACGCGAGTGGAACTGTCGAGCGCGGACCAGGCTACGTATTTTATCGGCAGTTGGTGCGCATTGCATTGTTTATTTCGCATTGTTCGCTTGATTGTTTAAATCAGCTCGCAGCTCACAAATACCGTATTTATGGAGCCGCGAATCAGCGTGTGAACGCTCGGCCGCGTATTTGTCTCAGATTCGGTATTTCGCAAATACCGTATTTCTGGAGCCGCGAATCAGCGTGTGAACGCTCGGCCGCGTATTTGTCTCAGATTCGGTATTTCGCAAATACCGTATTTCATAAATACGAGGTCTCGTGTTAACGAGGCTAGTGTGCGAATGAATTCATTAATCACGCACGACGTACGTGTGTCGATCTATACTCTAGATAGAATTGTTGAACGAGTCTGTGGAATTATAATGTGCATGCGCCACGCGGCCGTTGTGGTGTGAGTAGAATATCATATAATCTACGCAGCCGTTACGTTATTGACATGCCCGTGGGGACCAAACAATGGATGCGGCTCAAACGCGTTAGAAACCCGTAGAAATAACTTCGTATTGCATCACGACGAGACGATTACATTCAGAACAATTAAGACAGATGTATTTTACTGCAATGTACATTGGTTAAGGTTGCATATCTACGGTAACGAATTGTTCGTGTACTTACCTGAGTAATTATGCACCTGTGATTGAATACAACGGGCTGTCTCGCGGCGACGCCTATATATATGGTGATGCTGAGCAAAGTTACGTAGCTGCAGGTAGCTCAGGTGCGAACACAGGTGTCTGTATCATGAGAGGTAATTAACGTCGTAACGTAGGCTCGCTTTCTCCTTCTCTGTATAGAAGATCCGCTTCAAATTGCTGTGTCGATTGTTGTAGATATATATACACAAAGAACGCGTATGTATATTAACCCTGTATACGCGAAGGCAACCGCTGTGATCACACCTTATCGTTGACCGTCACACACTAAATAACACACCTCAAAACAAGCCTCCGACGATTCGTATACCTGTCAGCAGAAATAGCTATGATCACCACCACCACTATCACATCGTAGGAGTCTCGGATCCGATCTAAGTAGTTTCTCTCTGCAGGCGACGCAGGGACGCGTCCGCTGCTGCACCTATATATAGTGTGGATCGTCGAAAAAATGTGCTGTCGACGTCAGACGTACGGTCAGCGTGCTTACGATGAAAGCTAAGCGTGATTGACTACGATCGCGGCACGTGAGTCGGTGTGTGTAGTTTTCCACCGCGCATGATCGACCTCAAGTTCTCTGTCTCATGTCCGACCCGCGTCATCGTGTGTATACGTGAGGCACACACAGCTGCCGTTAACATCAACGTTACGTGAACCGCTCAGCGACTCTGTCCACGCGCAGTAAATCTAAACCGGATAGGTATAACCATGCCCAGACTGTATACCAACAATGCTGGGGCCAGTTGCCCCGCGGCGTCGTCTGCCGAATACCGACAGCGTGACGTAGACGCACGCGACCGTGACGCTGGAATTCCCCGCAACCCGGAACCTCTCATCGCACCAAATTCGCATGAATTAAGTAATATTAACTAGCATATACAGATATATCAGGAGTAGATAATAGGATATTATCTACTCCTGATTTGTATACTAGT